GGCAGAAAGTGCATCCCGGTGGGCACGGGATGTGTCCCGGTGGACATGGGGTGTGCCACGGTGGGCACGGGGTGCATCCCGAGGGGCACAAGGTGTGTCCCGGTGGGTACAAAGTATATCCCGGTGGGCACARGGTGTGTCCCAGTGGGCACAAAGTGCATCCCGGTGGGCACAAGGTCTGTCCCGAGGGGCACGGGTGCATCCCGAGGGGCACAAAATGTGTCCCGATGGGCACGGGTGTGTGACGGTGGGCACAAAGTGTGTCCCGGTGGGCACAAAGTGTGTCCTGGTGGGGACAAGGTCTGTCCCGAGGGGCACGGGTGCATCCCGAGGGGCACAAAATGTGTCCCGATGGGCACGGGTGTGTCACGGTGGGCACGGGGTGTGTCCCAGTGAGCACAAAGTGTGGCCTGGTGGGAACAAGGTGTGTCCCGGGTGCATCCCGGTGGGGACAAATTGCATCCCGGTGGGCACGGAGTGCGTCCCGAGGGGCAGAAAGTGCATCCCGGTGGGCACGGGGTGTGCCACGGTGGGCACGGGGTGCATCCCGAGGGGCACAAGGTGTGTCCCGGTGGGCACAAAATATATCCCGGTGGGCACAGGGTACGTCCCAAGGGGCAGAAAGTGCATCCCGGTGGGCACGGGGTGTGTCCCGGTGAGCACAAAGTGTGTCCCGGGTGCATCCCGGTGGGCACGGGTGGGGCACCAGAAAGCAGAAAGTGCATCCCGGTGGGCACGGAGTGTGTCACGGTGGGCACGGGGTGCATCCCGAGGGGCACAAGGTGTGTCCCGGTGGGCACAAAATGCATCCCGAGGGGCAGAAAGTGCATCCCAGTGGGCACGGGGTGTGTCCCGGTGAGCACAAAGTGTGTCCTGGTGGGGACAAGGTGTGTCCCGGGTGCATCCCGATGGGGACAAATTGCATCCCGGTGGGCACGGGGTGTGTCCTGGTGGGCACAAAGTGTATTCCGGTGGGCACGGGGTATGTCCCGAGGGGCACGGGTACGTCCTTACGGGCACGGGTGCATCCCGGTGGGCACAAGGTGTGTCCTGGGTGCATTCTGATGGGCATAAAGTGTGTCCCGAGTGCGTCCCGGTGGGCTCAAAGTGCATCCCGGTGGGCACAAGATATATCCCGGTGTGCACGGCTGCATCCCGGTGGGGACAAGGTGTGTCCCGGTGGGCACGGATGCATCCCGAGGGGCACAATATGTGTCCGGTGGGCACGGGGTGCATCCCAGTGGGCACAAAGTATGTCCCGGTGTGCACGGGATGTGTCCCGGTGGGCACAAGGTGTGTCCCGAGGGACACGGGGTGTATCCCGAGGGGCACAAAGTGCACCCCGGTGGGCACGGGTGCATCTCGGGTGAGTCCTGAGGGGCACAAGGACTGTCCCGACGGGCACGGGCATCCCGGAGTTCACAAGACATGTCCCGGGTGCATCCCAGTGGGCACAAAGTGCATCCCAGTGGCAGTGCCCATCCCCGATGTCCATACCCATCCCCCATGTCCATACCCATCCCAGCTCCCCCTGCTCATCCCCGTTCCCCATACCCATCCCCGGTCACCGTGCGCATCCCCCGTACCCATCCCCGGTGCCCATCCCCATCCCCGTGTCCATCCCCGATGCCCGTGCCCATCCCCGGTCCCCGTACCCATCCCCGTACCCATCCTCCGTGTCCATCCCCGTGCCCATCCCCGCTGCCCCCCGGCCCCACCTGTGTCTGGGTGAGCCCCAGCTGTGCCGCCAGCTCCGCTCGCTCGGGCAGTGCCAGGTACTGCGTCTGCTGGAAGCGCTGGTTCAGCGCCTGCAGCTGCAGGCTCGAGTAGATGGTGCGGGGTTTGCGCGCTTTCCTCGCCCGGGCTCCGAGCCGCAGATCCGCGCTGGCCACGGCCGGGGCCTTCCCGGGCTCTGGAAGAAGGGGACGAGCCGGGATCAACCAAAGGCACCCCAAAAATACCCCGATTTACCCCAAARTGTGAAGGGAAGGGTGGGAGCGTTCGTTCGGTGTTGGT